GGGGGGGGGGGGTTACGGATTGGAGAAAGGAGGGGGGGGGGGGGGGGTTATCGCCGTAACGACCTACTGATAGTGTTTTAAAGCAAATATATTAAGTGGCAGCATTGGCACTGTCGAATTCATAAATTATGAATTATGAAAGTAGAAAATAAAAAAAAAACTAAATAGCGGCATATGATAAGCCGCGGGTCGGCTCGTACATATATTACATGTGTTCATAGCTGTGGCACTCTGTTGTATAGATATAAACATAAAATAAATAACTTGGCAGACTGAAGTTAGTATTCATCATGGCTGCTCGTAGTACACTATAGTTCTATAGTTTAAAACATTATTAAGTAACTTCAACACTTTCAGTGTTTATCTTTTGTCATAAGCATCATAAGCTGCATACCTCATTAAGTTAACATTGACTACTCTCATTGTTAACAGTCCCATTTTTTGTTAACATAACACCATCTGTATACCAGATGATGTTAACATTCACAACTCAAGTTTAACAGTCCAATTTTTTGTTAACATAACACCATTAGTTGTATACTCCCTGATGTTAACATTCACTACTCTCAATGTTAACAGACCTATGTACGGTAGACTTGATATATCACTCAATACCAACTGCAGTGTATCACTATCAGGCTGATATTGTGTGGGTTGCTAAATAGTTAATTAGTTGGGAGGTACCTTATCATGACTCAGGGAGATTTTATTGTGTTGAAAATCTTTTTTTTTTGTGTGTTAAAATAGTTGATAGCTGTGTACCTCATGATGTTAACTTACCCATACATATTTGATTCTTATGATAATTTTTTAACCATGATAAATCACTAGTTAGCTGGATGTTGAGTGTTTCTGTGTGCTAGTTAGCCATTGACTAGAGTGCAGAAAGATTTTTTGCCAATAATTCAAGTTTGGTCTTAGAGTTAGCTGTAGTTATGATTTGATTTGTTTTTTGCTTGTTTTTTGCTATGTATATGTGTGTTTGTGTAGTTAGAACAGCTGTATGTGTTATTATGTAAGTAGCACACCTGGATACAGGAGGCTATGTAATCAGTGTTACTGTAAATGACTAGTTATGTAATCAGCTTACCGGTATGAGTAGTTATGTAACTAGTACATCTGTATGTGTGTGGTTATGTAATCAGCTTACCTATATGTGGGGTTATGTAACTAATACCCTATATATGTGTGGTTGTGTAATTAGCACATCTATAAGTGTGGTTATGTAATCAGCACATCTATATATGTGTGGCTATGTAACAAATACACCTATGTATGTGTGGTTATGTAATTAGCACATCTGCATGTGTGGTTATGTAATTAATACACCTATGTATGTGTGGTTATGTAATTAACACATCTATATATGTGTAGTTATGTAATTAATACACCTATGTATGTGTGGTTATGTAATCAGCTCACCCATGTACATTTTGCCATATAACAATTTTCCTTTGTGCCCCATATTGGTTTATTCCATGATTAGTTTACCTGTCCTGACTAATTATGTAAGATTTACCTGCAAATGTTTGTTTACTCTACTTGTTAACCGGTGTAGAATGTTTGATTATAGAACTGGTTGAAATGATTGGCCATGTTGTTAAAGATGGTTTAGATGAAATTGATGTAATCAGTGAGTACTTATAGATGTAATGATGTGTTTGGGTGTTGAGTTCAGGTTTGGGTTTGTTTAGTGTGGGGTAATGGGTGTGGGGTAATGTGGGAGTGTGGGGTTAATATGGGGAATGTGGTATATGGGGGTATGAGGTTATGTGTGGAGTGGGGGAATATGGGGGTAATGTGAAGTAATGTGGAATGTGTGCATTGGGTTGGTGGTAATATTTTGTGGGTAATGTGGAGTAATATGGGATGTGGGTATATGGGGTAATGTGGAGTGTGGGTATATTGGGTAATGTGGAGTGTGGGTATATGGGGTAATGTGGAGTGTGGGTATATGGGGTAATGTGGAGTGAGGGTATATGGGTAATGTGGAGTGTGGGTATATGGGGTAATGTGGAGTGTGGGTATATGGGTAATGTGGAGTGTGGGTATATGGGGTAATGTGGAGTGTGGGTATATGGGGTAATGTGGAGTGTGGGCATATGGGGTAATGTGGAGTGTGGGTATATGGGGTGATGTGGAGTGTGGGTATATGGGTAATGTGGAGTGTGGGTATAGGGGTAATGTGGAGTGTGGGTATATGGGTAATGTGGAGTGTGGGTATATGGGTAATGTGGAGTGTGGGTATAGGGGTAATGTGGAGTGTGGGTATATGGAGTAATGTGGAGTGTGGGTAATGTGGAGTGTGGGTATATGGGGTATGATGTAGTGTGGTGTGTGGGTAAATATGGGGTTTATCTTGTGATAAAATGCTCCAGCTGCCGTTCATGTCCACTACAAATTTTATTTTAAAGACGCGTCTTCTACAAAGTCATGCATTGCATTGTAATACTTTAATTGGTCAACTATTGAGCATCCTGCAGAATTAAAAGATTTATTTCAACAAGTATTTTAGAATTCTTTGTTGTCAATGTTTTTAACCCTAAACTCTCTCACTGATATTGATTTATGTGAAATAACTCGCAGCTTCACAATCTGTTCAGTCAAGTGTGACGTATGTGCATTTCACGCGGAAGACAAAGGATCACGTGTTCTTTACCCTGTTGTCTTTACCTTCCTTGAGTCAGGTCTCCATTAAAGCTGAGTGAACTCAGTGACGTTTTACTGACTTGAAACAGAACTCGAGACAATTGGGTGGGTAGTCGTGTGCGCTATCGCACGACTACACCGCCCCGTTGTACGTTGATACGTTGTTATCACAGCTGTGTAGGAATTGTGAGACAAGTATTGTCTCTAACAGTGGTTCCCTAATGATAACACGTGTACCCTACTGTGCCTATTGGGGTACTATCTTTTAGAGTATCTGGTACTGGTTAGATCACGTAGAGAATCTTTCGACGCTAGTGGCGTTGCCTTAACCCTGGATCTTAACCCAAATCTTCACCCTTATTTTGTTAGAGGATTTGAAAACGCTAGTGGATTGAAAGGTAAATTGATATATAAATAAAAATTCTAATACAAGGTAATGCAAGTTTTATTCACAAACTGGCAGTAGAGCAGTAGCTCAGTAATTTACTGATGGTATTATTTAACCTACGGATAGATTTCATTCAATTGTCGCAGGAAATTACCAACGAAAAAAAACCCTACATCAGATTGTAATAGTGTAAGGAAAGCAAAAAGACGAAGTTGATATTTTGAACACCTTTATTGCAGCATGACAATTTCATGACATTTAAATGTCAGATGAAGCTAAACCCATCAAGGTATTTTGTCACTAACAAGTGATCTCCTATTCCAAGCTTTTAAAAAAGTTGATCAATAGTACAAATATCAGAGGCGACACGCGTGGGAGCGCGGCCCCACCTGCTAATTTAGACGCCCTGGAAAAACTGTCGATTTCTCCTCCCTCTATATATAATAATTCAGGTTAAAAATCCTGTCGCATAAAATAATCAGGAGAGGGTACAACAGATCCTAGCTACGCCCCCTATGATGACACAAGGTTTTAGTACGAAATGCGTATATAAATAAATTAAAAAAAAAAAAACAGAAACAGTAAAAAAATGTTGGGTAAAACGTATCTGATCAGACCCTTTAAATGGTGACAAATCGTGTCATCCAACTTCATCCAACACCTGATTCAATAAAACTTGCTACCACTTGTAAGAAAACACCAACAACATTAAGGCTACACGGCATCCAATCACAAACCTGGATATTTTACTTTTCAACAATGACAACACTTAATTGCTTAAACTAAAGCGATATTGTGCATAAAAACAACATGTTTCTTTCATACATCTCTCCGGGAGGAGGAGGGGATACGTAGTCAAAATATTTAATAGAATTGCCCCGGAAAAGTCAAATGCCCCCCTCCCCTCCGACTGAGCCAAATGTTTAAAAGAAACATTGAATACAACACGTAGGCTATATATATATATATATATATATATATATATATATATATATATATATATATATATATATATATATATATATATATATATATATATATACATATATATATATATATGTATATGTATATGTATATATATATGTATATGTATATATATATATATATATATATATATATATATATATGTATATGTATATATATATGTATATGTATATATATATATATATATATATATATATATCTTTAAAAAAGGTCACTAAACAGACAATACATTAGAATATAAAAATAAGAGATAAACATCAACCGATGTAACTAGCAACTACCAGCTCACAATTCCGTTACATTGTCTGACGATAGAGTACTATGTGGGAACTGAAAGCTTTGGAAGCGACACGAGCGCGCCGTCACCAATAGCTGTAACGTAACGTGAGACAGGTGACGTTTTCTGGGATCATCGGCAGGGATACTTTCAGGCATCTCTTCGAGGGGGGGGGGGGGGGTAAGGGAGAGGCACTTCTCGCCCCCACTCACACAGAGAACGTTCGCCGCTCCCCCTCCACCCGAACAAATAATTTTTAATTTATAAAGAAAATCAGCCCCCCCCCTATATTTTTTAGTGCTTCCGGAAGTTTCAAGTGTCTGACCATGAGGGTGGGGGAAGAAGGTTTTGACCCCCCCATTAACATCACCTCTGACACGCCACTGATTAGAGGACAGTCATATCAATACTAGGTCAACATCCCTGTCCCCTTATTTAAAACTTCCAGAGTAGGTAGTTCATGGTACATTAGAGTTCGCACTGTTTTATCTACTTTTATAATTATAATACAAAGTATTATTTTTAGGCCTACCATTGCCAAATTCAAAATATCGGAAAAATATTCAAATCATACAGTATAATATATTGTCACAACCATTTATAATAGCAACATTTTATTTAAATTTTTAAAACCAAAAATATTTTGTTTTAAAAAAATAAAAAAATATTTGGAAAAAAATATCAACATTTTCCTTCATTTATAATTTTTTCTTCTGGTGTTTCCGTCGGCATAAAAGAATCATCCATCATATTTTCCGTTCTCTACTCATTTCCTTTTCCAAGGGGCTGTATCGTCTGGGTGACCCCCCTTTGACACGACCTAGTTCTATAAATAGGGGTAGAGGGCGAGTGGTGAGATGTACTCGATAAAAACATGGCCGTCTTCGACCTTGACCTGGTAGACTTGTTGCTGTGGGCAAACGTTTAGAGGGTCGTCAATATTTATTGTGAAATGATGATGTTATATTCAAACGTTTAGAGGGTCGTCAATATTTATTGTGAAATGATGATGTTATATTCAAACGTTTAGAGGGTCGTCAATATTTATTGTGAAATGATGATGTTATAGTCAATCATTACAACGACTAAGTTTTTTTAAAAGAAAAATAATTAGATTCTTTAAAGACGTGGTGAGGAGAAAACGATGTCTGAAAGAAATGCCTGGGCATCACTTATTAGCTTTTTTTGTTTCAAAGATCAGTAATTTAAAACACTATCCAATCGCTTGTCCACCTATCTTCTTCCATCCAAACTTACCCACCCACCTGCCAAACCACCTGCCAACCCACTTACCCACCCACCTGCCAACCCACTTATTCACCCACCTGCCAACCCACTTACCCACCCACCTGCCAACCCACTTACCCACCCACCTGCCAACCCACTTACCCACCCACCTGCCAACACACTTACCCACCCACCTGCCAACCCACTTACCCACCCACCTGTCAACACACTTACCCACCCACCTGCCAACCCACTTACCCACCCACCTGCCAACCCACTTATCTACCTACCTACCTACCAACCCACTTTCCAAACTTCCTACCTACGAACCCACTTTCCAAACTTCCTACCTACCTACCTACCTACCAACCTACTAACATATCTACCAACCGACTTACCTACCTACCTGCCCGCCAACCCGCTTACATATCTCCCAAACTCAATACCACCTACCCCCCCCCTGCCCCCACCCACTCACTTCAGCAACCAAATCACGAGCTATTCCCCGATCGATTTCCACTCACACCAATTACCCCCCCCCCCCCCTCCACCACACACAACGCTAACGACGGTACTCACCCGCAGACCGATGTCCGAGCTCCCCGTGGCCAGGTCGAACATGTACGCGTGCCAGGGACACATCACGTGACACGAGCCCTTGTACTCCTCAATGTCACCTTCAAACAGCGGCCCACCTGTCCAGGTAGAGAAACACATCGACACAAATAAATATTGAACACGTAAATATGTAGCACAATAATTGCAAAGTAAATAAAAATAAATACCATATAGGATTATACGAACATGTACGTGCACACATTCAAATAATCACACACACACACACACTCACACAACACATACAAACATACACGCATGCACACAAACACACACACCCATTTATACATCAATCTCCATCCATTTATTCTCGACCATCTCACCCCACTATCCCATTAATACATTACGATCTCCGACCATTGACCAACCAATCTAACCATTCAATCCTTACAGTACCATATCTAACGTACCATATCACCGTACCATATCACCGTACCATGTCCAACGTACCATGTTTACCGTACCATTCTACCGTACCATACCTATTGTACAATATCTACCGTACCATGTCCACCGTACCATATCCACCGTACCATATCCACCGTACCATGACCACCGTACCATATCCAACGTACCATGACCACCGTACCATATCCACCGTACCATGACCACCGTACCTTATCCACCGTACCATGACCACCGTACCATATCCACAGTATCATATCCACCGTGCCATTACCACCGTACCATGACCACCGTACCTTATCCACCGTACCATGACCACCGTACCATGTCCACCGTACCATATCCACCGTACCATGACCACCGTACACATATCTACCGTACCATACAGACCGTACAGTATCTACGGTACCATGTCCACCGTACCATATCCACCGTACCATGTTCACGATACCATATCCACCGTACCATGTCCAGCGTACCATATCCACCGTGCCATGTTCACGATACCATATCCACCGTACCATGTCTACCGTACTAACCTCACCCGACTGTTCTCACCATAAAAGGCCTACCCCATCATCATCACCCCATCACCATCACCCCATCACCATCACCCCATCACCATCACCCCATCACCATCACACCATCATCATCACCCCATCACCATCACCCCATCACCATCACCCCATCAACCCCACCCACCTCCTATATTTCTCTATGCCACACATTACCCCACTACATCTCCCTTTAACAACTAACCAACTAGCGAACAAAAAAAACTACACTTAAATGTCTGCAATTAGTTCAAACAGTATTTTTACTTTCTCGTATATACGAAGTATAGAGAAAGTCTTGTAATCGTGCAAAAAAAAAAAAAATCGAGATTTTTACAAATCTCGACGTTTCACACCTCACTGATACGGAAAAACATAATTTTGCAATCTTGTCCGTATGTCTGTGTGTCTGTCTGTGTGTCTGTGTGTCTGTGTGTCTGTCTGTCCGTGTGTAAACACGATAACTTGAGTACCGTTACAGCTAGGTTGATGAAATTTCATATATAAGTATTTAATCAAAATCGTAGATCCGTATCAACTTTTGAGCGATTTCCGATAACCGGAAGTGGTACTTGTCCTACTTTGAATTTTTCAAAAGCCTATAAGTTGAGTACTATTTCAAATAGATAAATGAAATTTCATATGTAAGTAAAAGATCTAATTCTCTACCTTCTATTAAATTTTGAGCCATTTCCGTTGACTGGAAGTAGTACTTTACGCTACTTCCGATTTCTCAAAAAACTAATGTAAATTTTAAAAGTAATAATAATATTGCGCACCATTATGCGCTTTTTTATTTGGCGTTCACTTGGTGTGCAATTAATTTGACTACGAGATTTTATTCTATTTTTAAAACTTAAAGTATTTAAAATGGATTAAAAATCATGTCTATAGCCCGAGTTCCCATCCCCTGTTATTTTATATAAGAATATTCGAGAAAGTTTAGGGGAGATCACTCCCGGTTTATTTCTAAATGAAGGTAGTTAATAAGGGGGTTAATTAGTGCTGTCTGTCCAGCTATCAGGCGCTAGTTAAGTAGATTAATTGATCTATAGGCCAAGTCTCTATCATAGAAAAAAGTCAGAGAAAAAAGGTCACAGAAAAAAAGTGACAGAAAAAAGTCACAGAAAGAAGTAATCAAAATATAAGTCACAGAAAAAAGTCACAGAAAAAAAGTCACAGAAAAAAGTCACAGAAAAAGCTCAGGAAAACGTCACAGAAACAAAGTCACAAGAAATAAATATGTTGAAGAAAGAAGTACAAATAGTTACCTAAACAATGTATACAGCTTTTTTTCAGGTGTAGCACGGTAATCTAAGATATTGTTTCAGTTTCTTTGACGTTTTGCGCTTCAATCACAGTTAGTAAGTAAAATACACACTGTCATTCAAGTTATCGTTTTGTGATATTTTTTTCCTGTTACATTTCTAATACTCTTCCCTAGACTTAACCACAGGTATCGGTATCTGTATTCGTTTATACATGTTTGAATTAATATGCGAGTACGACAAATTAATGAGAACCGATTATTTATTTAAGCTGTGTAGACTATTAATAGAAACACGCCCCTCCCCCCAACTGAAGTACACCTCACACTTAGAGATAATTATTTTCCCTTGACTGATAATGATCAATCACTTCCATGTTACCAGCCTAGACAAAAATTGCACAATTCTGTTTTTATTTTTCTACACGATTCCATGGCTTAAGTGGCGTGAAGCGATCATGTATGCGCACCAGGAATTTGTGCAAAAGTGCGTAAAGTGCATTGACCGAAATTGATTTCAATTTAAAAATCTGAGATGTTTTATTTTTTTTTAAAGCGGGAGTTATCTCCCGTAAACTTTCTTGTAAATTCGTATATGTCAGTTTATGACGGAAATAGTATTTTTCAAGGCGAAAAGTTCTTAGATTACGCTGTTTTATAAGATTACGTTATAAAATTGATAAAATCCTGAGGCTTTATAAGAAATCAAATATACGGTAATTCCGGTGGCCGAAATTCGCTCAAAAAAATGATAAAAACCTATTCAAAAGTAGTTATAAATAATAAAAATTACGTCAAACTTACTAAAAGGGTAAGGAAGTTATCGTGTGAACACAACCACATTCAGAATGACAGACAGACAGACACACACACACACACACACACACACACACACACACATACAGACAAGAAATGAAACATATTTTTTCAGCCCAGGAAGATTAAAACGTTCAAAATATTGCTTTCGAATCTTTGCACGATTTTAAATTAATTAACACTTCCCCACAAATACTCACTGTAACATGCCAAAAAACATTAGGTGCTATATGGGCCCATGTTGTACATATAACACGTACGAAGTGATTCATAAATTCATGGTCTTATGTATTGTCTATTAATTACGTCACGCTCTTTTAGCATACCCCCCCCTCCTCCCAAACCCCATTCGCATTTCTAGCTCCACACCACCAGATTCTAGATGGATACAACATTGTTATTTAACACCTGGAAGACTATGTTCACTGTTGGATAAGCATCTTAACCTACCACATATTTTCTCTTTAAAATTTAAGACTTTCAATTATTTCTAATGAAGGGATACATTTTTTTTTTGCCTCAATTATGTAAGATTCCAATAAAAATAAAATCAAGTTTTCACCGCACTTCATAATTAAGTCCTAGTTTGCGTGAAATGGAGTTGGGGTAGGAACGCTGTTATTATAAATGTAGTATAATATGTAGGACGGTGGTCTATTTTGATGTATAGCGACATATAATGGTGTGGTAAGCCAACAATGTCCCCTTCTTGTGTTATAGAACAGTGCAGGATGCTTAAGTGCAGTTTGATGGTTAATCTTTGCTGACACACACATATATCTGTATATCTGTATATCTGTATATATATATATATATATATATATATATATATATATATATATATATATATATATATATATATATATATATATATATATATATATATTGTTTTGAGTACGATAAGTTCCTTTTAAGATGAGTAGAGTTATCATTAAAAAAGTATTTTTAATCTCGTCAACCCTTTCATTGGACGACACAGAGGCCAAAACCAACATATTACAAAAGTTGTCTCGACCTGACCGAATTGAGCGCATAGAGGTCAGAGGTCGGGGAGTCAGAGGTCATAGGTCGGTGAGTCGTTGTGGTGCAGACAGTGTATTGGTGATTAGTGACCAGCTAATGAGGGGAATTCACACTCTCTAACGAGGTAGCACCATGGGAACCAGTGCGTAGGGTAACTCTCTTTTGATAGTGATGGGTCGTACATGACGTCACACACTAGGGTTGGGGGAGGGGGGTGGTGGTTCGTAGGTTTTAAAAAGAAAGCGACGTAGAAATTAGTCTGTAATTCTAAACGAAAAAAAAAAGGAGTAAACAATACAAATTTCTTTAAAAATATTGTCATTTGACATTGGGGAGGGTTGGGGTGGGGGGTGGTGGGGGTTGGGGGGGGGGGTGGGGGTGGTGTAACGTTATGAAATCATTTTAAAGCGTTGGACTTGTTGTGAGGAATTGTGACGGACGAAAGTTATGGGTGTGAAGTGTGTGGGTGTGGGTGTGCGTGTGTGTGTGGGGGGGGGGGGGGGTTAAAAACGGCTTGTGACGCTCGATATCAACTTCTTACCCCCACCCGTGCTATACTGGTTACTGAGATTTGAAAGAAAGACAAAACTGTTTAAACAAGTAGTTCAACAGCTATCTCTACACCACCCACTCCCCACGGAATTAGTTACGTAAAGGAAGGACAAGAGTGTATACACAAGTTTAGAAGCTATCTCCCCCCCCCCCTCCCTACGGTACTGGACCCTCGAGCAGCGATCAGACAAACTGGGTGAATGGAGAGTTATAGAACCTCCAACATTCCTCTTTACAACGAGAATCTCCAACATTCTCCTTTACAGCAAGAACCTCCAACATTCCCCTTTACAACGAGAATCTCCAACATTCCCCTTTACAGCAAGAACCTCCAACATTCCCCTTTACAACGAGAATCTCCAACATTCTCCTTTACAGCAAGAACCTCCAACATTCCCCTTTACAACGAGAATCTCCAACATTCCCCTTTACAGCAAGAACCTCCAACATTCCCCTTTACAAC